CTAATGAATTGCTATTAATTAACTGCCATAAATGTACCCCACCCCACTCTTGGGGGAAGCTGAAGTCAAAGATTAAAAGCTAACGATAAATATCATAAAGCCTCCCATTTTAAATAAATAAATAAATTTGAGAATTAAAAAACATAGGAGGAAATATTGAATAAGCTTTATCAATAATTGCATAATAAAAGTTATTTAATGCAAAATAAAACATACGTAATACGCGAAAGTTTCCGAAAGAACAATCTTTCACATTCAAGCCTGATGAAGAAGGCATAGTATATAATGAGTAACAATCCTATAAGCTCCAAAGCAGTTCCTCCAGTGTGATCACTAACAAACTCGACATGTCTCTTAGCCTTTTCGGGATCCATTGAAGATCAAAAAAATATTATCCTAGTTCTTAAATAAGAGTATAAGGCGGATTATAACAAAAAATCGTTAAATAAAATAAGAAAACACACTAAACGGTCTCTTGTAGCAAAGTTGATTTCGTGAACACAAAGAAGGAAGGTCGAAATGACAAGGTCAACTTTATTTTAATTAAAATTAAAATTACTATAATGGATTAAAATGAAATTCTATCTTAACTGTGAAAGTCAATCATTCTATTAAGAATGTTATATAGATGAGAAATAGTAGTGTAATATAAAATTATTGACAAAATTAATAGTAAATAGTAAATTTTTGTATCTTTTTCATATTAAAAATATTCAGGTGATTTATAATGATAGTAAATATATAATGGATTTTCGTTTTATTGCTTTATGTACCGCATTATATTGTGCATATTTAGGCAGTACTATTTCGAAGTATATTCTATTCTGGCTTTGCGGTACCATTGTTTAACTGGCTGATTTTGTTGTTAACCTTCTTATTTTTAGATAAATTTTCAAAGTCAAATTCTAACAAGAATAAACGTCTCCTGGGTTCTAATTGTTGTTTTTCCAAAAATATTTTATGATGACAATCTTGTACAAACAGGATCATGTTGTGTTTTGTGATATCAAGTAGTGTCTTCTGTTTTTCTTTACCTTTGTTCAGAAAAAAGATTACTATCACAGTCGAGCAAAGTAACCCTTCGAATAATCAATTAGAAAAAGTTTGAAAATATTTTATTTTTTACATTTTAGTCAATTGATATAAGTTTAACTGATGACAATGACTTATATTTTCTTTTTACTGTTAAAATTATGGCAACCGATTATCTGAAGTAAATTATACTTTAACCAATATTTTGTTAGACTTAAAGATCAACAAGGTTTATTTGTCGAATACAACGCTTTTGGTGAGATGCTTACTGACTTACTTACCAAGTGTGCAGTTGAAGAAAATAACAGTTCTCCCAGGTTGGGCTCATTTTTTCATTTGATATTCTAGATATATTCTACAATTTTCTGAATCTTCCGATCCGCATATCCTACAGATTGTTGAAACCACTGATTTTCGTCGTCTAACGCACTTGGCCTTGAAATTTTCTGCAGCATCAGATGATATCCTTAAGGCATATCTTGTATCGTATATTAAAAAATTTCGGGTAAATGGTTTTTTGGAGTTTTAAATTTCAGGATAATTATGAGAATAACGTCGCACTGTTTGAACACAAAGAGACCAACTTGAGTAGTCAGCTATTAGTATCGAACCAGATGTCAGATGAGCTTAAGAAAAAGTTGGAGGATTTTAAAGACATTCATCAACGCGATGTATCCGACTTAAAACGTCATTATGAATCGCAAATAAATAATATAAAATCTTCAAATGAGAGGGTGTGTTTGCACGATTTTACCTCTTACTTTCTCAGGCAATTGAGCTTTTGAAATCAAATCACAACTCTGAAATAAAGGCCCTACAGGAGAGCCATTCTGCAGAAATGACTGGCATTAAATCAAAGCTCGAGTCCCAGTCTTCTCTTTTATCGGTGTGTATGTCTTTTTTACTTTCTTACATTTTTCTAGACAAGTAGTATTCGTGAAGATGAGCTTCGATCTCAGATTGCTTCACTTACTAAGACCCTCCAAAGCACTGAGGTGTTACTTGGTACTGCTCGGAAAGAAATTGAAGGTAATATATTTATATTTGATTTACTATTTTCTTCAGCTCAAAAGGAAGAGATAGCAGCGCTCACTGATAAGAATGAAGAATTGCAGAAATCGATAAATCAAGTGACTGTGAAATATGATAATATTGAATCAATGTTTGCAGTTGAACAGCGACGGGCTAGCGCATTGGAGACTGACTTCGCTGCTCAGAGGGATCAATTCGTGAGCGCTGAATTACTTCGCATTATTTCTTCGTCTTGATATGTATTGATCTGCGTTTTACCTTGATTTCAGAAAAATATGCAAGATGAAATTCAGCGGAAAACGAAGCAGATTGAAAGGATGGAACGGCATGCTAAACAGCAGACAATTGAGATTACTAAGGCTAATAGCATTATCAAACAACTGCAGAAGGATCTGAAGGCAGCTCAAAATAAAGTAGGTCTATTTTCTCTTTTATATTTTATTGTAATAGGTTCGTTTATTTTTACTAATTCGCTCCAATTTGTTTTCTATAATTGGAATTAAAATGAGAAATTGTATCCAGTTGTTTAATTTGTTGAACCGAGTTGCTGTCAGTAGCTTTCTACTCTCATCGCTCTAATGAGAATCGTGGCTCTTCTCTTCCCCTTATTCATCAAACTCATCGTTGACGGTTGGTCATTCATGTCTCTCTCTCCCTTTGTGTGTGTGTGTGTGTGTGTGTGTGTGTTTTTGTAATATACTTAGGTAATGACTATGATCTTAAAGACGTTATGAACTGAGATCATCATTTGCTTGTTGAGTCATTTTTACTATTGTAAACATACACTAATGCAATGGTAGACCACGTTTATATTTATACCTATTGAACACTTTGCAATTCTTACTTTAGGCCAAACTTCGAGGTCAGGTGGCGACTGAACAGGAAAAGGTGTTGACAGCCAAAGAGGCGGAAGCCGAAGATGCCCTTAGTGCTCTCAGAGAAGTTCGCGATCAATTGCACGCTGAAGAATCACGTCGTGAACGTTGTGACGCGCAAATCGCCAATCTACAGACTGCTCTCGAAGAGGCCAAGAGGACTATTGAAAATAATGAAAACAGTGAGTGGTATTACCCCATTACTTCTCCCTCCATGATTGTGTGTTTCGATCTTTCCAACTCCTGTTGTTACTCCTTTTCAATTCAAATCGAAGACGTTAAGAAATGAAACTTTATTATATTGCTTTGGTTTGCGTAGAAAATAGCAATTAGATGTATATGTGTTTGTTCCATCTGCATGCTTTAGTGCACCCTGGTATCATTTTTATATCGGACATTGTAGTGGGGACTGAATACCAATATGGGAACATCGAAGTAACTTAACCCTGTTATTAAGTTGTGTAGACAACTGTTATTTGAGCTGATCCATTCCATGATTGTTGATCGTGGTCTTAATTCATCGGGTTTAGTTACAATCGTGGAGAGATATCACAATTATCAAAGTTGTAAGTATTGATTTTCAGTGTCCGCATTTACGTTCTATCGATCAGTCTGCATTCATCTAGCGGGCTTACTATGTTCACTAGGTTGAGTGATGGAGACACTGTCCGATTTCTCTTTATAAATTCATAAGTTGCTATGATCTATCACAATTTGCGATTTATTGGATGGAATACTTTGAAATACTCATCCATGGCGGACCTTTGGACACAACAGCCCCAATTGAGGCTTAGTGGTTACTGTGTCAAAATCTCTGCATTTCACTATCCGTTTCCCTTTTAGTGAAGTTTATACTAAACGGTGGAAGAAAGCATTCATCTAACATTCTCTAAACAAGGATTTATTCGAGTGTCACTACTCGCCATCTCTTATTGAAATTAACTAGTGGGCTTGTGGGTGCCATTAATGGCATTACTCTTCTGCGCTTAAGTGTCCACATCGAGTATCGTTTCTCGTTGATTTCCCTCGATGTATGGGAACTCAGTTCTTACCCCTACTACTTAAATCTTCCGGTTGTAATTGCTTTACATTCTTCTCTATACTCTCAGCACAGCCGTATAAAATGCTTAAGTTCTTGGGGAACCTGCTTTTCAGTATGAATTCATCGAATTGCTCTTTCCTTTCCCGATAGTGGTTCTAGCACTTAAACGCCTTAAATATGATTCACTTTTTCAAAAATGGAGGACGGTAACGGCACGCAATTTAGTGCATTTAAATAATATGATATATTTTATGAAGTAATTTACAATAAATTATTAATTTAAATGCTCTTGGATAAGAATTATTCATTCACATTTAGCAATAATAAATACAATTATATGGCTGTTTATTGTTGAAACTAACCTAAAACTCTTCGTTTTGCACTGGTCATGCTAATACTACTATGGTTTATTTGTCGCAGTTATATCATGGCTGAACAGACAAATCTCCGAGTCTCACACACAGTCATGGCAGGAGCGGCTTAAGGCCAAGGGGATACCAGTGGTGCCCTCCTACATGGCTCACAAGCAACCTCCCCCACCCACTCTACCACCATTTGGAAAGGACACTGGTGGAAAGCTTGGAATTGCTGGAGCTGGAGGTCTGAAACCAACTGGTTTAGATTCACTATCACCGCCATGCCGTCAAGTATCATCCACTTCTCCTGGTGTGTTCATACCTCCACGTAGTACTGTTGATTGTTACGTAATGTGTTTATATAATTTTGGTTTCTCTATTTTTCGGTTTAGGAATTGGATTGAAAACTTATGGTACTAGCACTGCCATTTCATCCCTTACTGGGAAGGAAAACACGCTTCCAATGACTTGCAATCATAATGCTACTAATGGTTCAGCCCCATCGGTAAACTCCAAAGAATCAACTCTATTGGCCAATTTTGATACTTTTCAGTTTATTTTATTATAAAAAGAATATTTTGTTTGTGTGTACGCGACAGTGTTTCGAAGTCGCGTTATGTGTTTAGGCAAGGTGCATATCAGTCAAATATGTCCATGAAGTAAACTAGGATTTCCTCATTTTGGTGAGCTGCTTATTGCGTTGAGTAATAATAAAAGGAAGAGTTGGAGTTCTTGGTGAATCTGTCTCACCTTGTAAAAGTGGAGTTATGTTAGGAAGGCTCCACGTGTACCGGTAAGTAGGCTACAAATTTGAATACCGGTCCTCTAATTCTTGCAGTTCATCAGTGCTATTATTAATTGAATTAAACCCGATTTCCATTAATAATTTATTAGTTACAGTCCAAATAATCTACATTGATCATTACCCGAAGGTTTGTCGGAAATGCTGCAAATATTGTTACTTATTTGCTGACATGTCGCAGTACATTGGTAGTAACGTTAATATTGGACGTGATAAGTGTCATTTAGAATCCTTAACTCTACGATTGTATTTCTATTGTAATCAAGGCACCTGGCTTGTTGGATGGTGTTGCATCTGAAATTGCCGCATTAACCATCCGATCCCCTGCTCCACTGATATCACTGACTCGCCAGCAACCTGAGTCCTCTACTCTCCACTCTCGCTCAAAACGTAAGATGGCTTTTGTGGAATGCCTATGGGCGTAATTTTATGTCTGAATACAAATATTAAACATATTCTCTATCCCTCCTCTATATATTTAGCTCCTCAGAATGCGGGAACTTCATTGGCCAGTGACTGTGACAGCAGCTTGAGTCGTCCGCCAAATTCGAATAACCAACAGCACTCCTCCCTCTTGTCTTCATATTTTCACCCAAAACCGACTACTACTTAGTCGATTGATCGATCATTCGTGTTCTTTTTTATCTTTTTATGCACTTCCTACGTTCCTCCGCTTGCACATATCAAAGTGAAACCATTTTGAAATTTGTTTATTATTGGCACAATTGAGTTTCAAATCTTAATACAGAGCAGATATACTGAATTTCGACTTCTCATTTTTTTCTGAATAACCGATAAGCAAACCACCCTGCTGATTGATTAAACATGGCCATTAGTTTAATGTTAATTAAATTAGGAAATTATACCTCGTGCTCAAAACAATGATGAATAAGTGCCTGATGTAATGGTATGGAATAAATGGAACTTGTCTTATGAAATCGTGAATAGCTCCGTTTTCTTTTAACTTCACCTTTGAACGCTGACAACATTCCGGATTCCATGCAAAAAGTACTACACGACGGAGTTTGGTTTTTATAAAGCATAACTAAAAGTATTTTATTTGCATTGTTTGTATTTTTTTAAAAAAACATATCCTGATTGCCTTCACATATTTATATCCGACATGATTGGGTGTGCGATAGACTTACCTCCACGTGGTGTGCACCCTGGGCAGCGTATACTTTTACGGTAAATAACAAATCTATTATTCAGCAGTTGACTTCTGGTTTCAAACTACCATCACCCCACTGTATGTCATATTCGACCCCTTCCACAGTACTCATCTTACATTTTCCCTGCCTTTGTGTCTGTCTTTTACATATTTGTAACACTCTTCTTTCCCCCCCCCTCTCGAATTTCTTTTTCACTTTGATATTTCTTATCCTCC